GTAATTATTTGTTGTATTGTGAATGTGTATAATGTGATATGATGTGTGTATATTTTGAATGTTTGAATGTTCATGTTTGTGTTTTTGTTCGAGTTATTTTTTATTTTAGTAGTTATTATGTGTTGTTTCTTTTTAATTTTTAGTTTTAGTTTTTTTTTATCTTTACGGGAACCCCTTGATTTAAATTGGTCATTCATTTAGGGGGATACAAAGATAAAATTTTCTTTAAATGTTAACTTAAACAATAATTATTTTGTCATCATCAAAAAAGGGAAGATTGTTGCAACTTAGTTTTCATAAATATGTTGTTATATCATCTATATTTTTGATGATTTCAAAATCTTATTGTATTGATTAATATTTCTCCTAACATATATTGGAAATATTGTTTTTGTCGTTTGTGAGTACTAATATTTCAAAAAAATTGTACTTCAGACTACTGAATACTTTAAGACATATTAGATTATGTTTAATTGTATTTGAAGTCTGTACTTTTTAATTTTTTTCTAGTCTAAGAGAGTGTGATTGTAATTAGATAACCGTGCACACACACACACTATGAGAGTGTAAAAAATTATTTTAAAACTAATCATACTGTATGATCACATATCGTACGGGATGATTTGACCAATTATTCCTCCATAACATAGTTGATCAAACCATGGAAAATAAAATTTTCTAAGTCTTGTTCGTACTATACGAAGTTACACTCGTATAGACGACGTCTAGAGTACGAAATGAGTATGTGCAAGTTCGACCCATACGAACTCAAATACTTTTGAATTGTTCATACTGTACGATCATAAATTACAGACAATGTCCAAAGTACAAAATGGGTGCATAACATTTTGTCCATACGAACAGGTAAATTTTTTGAACTATTTGTACTATACGATCATAGGATCACACAGACGATGTCCAGAGTATGAAATAGACTCATCCATTTTCATACCAAATGAAATATGGTTTGGTTAAAAACATATAATAATATATAATATGGGGTTCGTACAGTACATTATCCAATATACAAAATAGATTCATATAGAATCGTATCGAATAAATCTATTTAATTTTGAACTGATTGTATTGTATGATGTCAGTTCATATATAGACAATCATAGTACTAAATCGATTAGTGCAAGATTGTACGAGAAAATTTTGAACTGATCATACATATGATGTGCGATCGTACTGTACAATCATAGACGGTAAAATTTAAATTTTTAGTTTTCTGGACAATTTTTCATGTCTTTCATATATAAAGTCCTAAAAAACTTACTGTCACTTCCTCTTCTTCGTATTTTCTCTGAGAGCAAGAGTGAAAGTGCTTTGGGTGAGTATTTGAGAGTGTGGATAGAGAGATCTTGCAAGTGGAATTTGTGAAGGGTTCATAAGGTTGCCCAAAGGTGAGAATCTATTTATAAGTTTGCCAAATATCTTCCTTACTTCTTTGAAGACGCTCGAGAGAAGTTCTTTGGAGAAGATTTGATTCTCTACCGACACCAGGAGAGTGTGAAAGAATGACGGATCTTTGCTAACACTTTGAGAGTGTGAAAGTACGACTGTACTCTGTCGCACCAGGGATTGGTGGAAGAGAGGCTAATTGTAAAGGCTTCTCCGTATTGTTGTAGGAGTAAAAGGAGAGACACTTTAATATAGTGCAATAGCTGAAGATGAAGTCTTCAGGAAGTGGATGCATGCCTTATTTGACCGAACCACTATAAATTTCTATGTTCTTTTATTTTTATTTTTATCGCATTTTTTATTTTTTGCTCTTTTAATTTTGTGGTTGTAATTTTTATTTTGGAAAAATTAAATTGTGTTAAAAACATAAAATGATTTTTTTCATTTTATCAAGATAATTTTAAATTTTTTGAACTATTTGTACTATACGATCATAGGATCACACAGACGATGTCCAGAGTATGAAATAGACTCATCCATTTTCATACCAAATGAAATATGGTTTGGTTAAAAACATATAATAATATATAATATGGGGTTCATACAGTACATTATCCAATATACAAAATCGATTCATATAGAATCGTATCGAATAAATCTATTTAATTTTGAACTGATTGTATTGTATGATGTCAGTTCATATATAGACAATCATAGTACTAAATCGATTAGTGCAAGATTGTACGAGCAAATTTTGAACTGATCATACATATGATGTGCGATCGTACTGTACAATCATAGACGGTAAAATTTAAATTTTTAGTTTTCTGGACGATTTTTCATGTCTTTCATATATAAAGTCCTAAAAAACTGACTGTCACTTCCTCTTCTTCGTATTTTCTCTGAGAGCAAGAGTGAAAGTGCTTTGGGTGAGTATTTGAGAGTGTGGATAGAGAGATCATGCAAGTGGAATTTGTGAAGGGTTCATAAGGTTGCCCAAAGGTGAGAATCTATTTATAAGTTTGCCAAATATCTTCCTTACTTCTTTGAAGACGCTCGAGAGAAGTTCTTTGGAGAAGATTTGATTCTCTACCGACACCAAGAGAGTGTGAAAGAATGACGGATCTTTGCTAACACTTTGAGAGTATGAAAGTACGACTGTACTCTGTCGCACCAGGGATTGGTGGAAGAGAGGCTAATTGTAAAGGCTTCTCCGTATTGTTGTAGGAGTAAAAGGAGAGACACTTTAATATAGTGCAATAGCTGAAGATGAAGTCTTCAGGAAGTGGATGCATGCCTTATTTGACCGAACCACTATAAATTTCTATATTCTTTTATTTTTATTTTTATCGCATTTTTAATTTTTTGCTCTTTTAATTTTGTGGTTGTAATTTTTATTTTGGAAAAATTAAATTGTGTTAAAAACATAAAATGATTTTTTTCATTTTATCAAGATAATTTTAAATTTTTTGAACTATTTGTACTATACGATCATAGGATCACACAGACGATGTCCAGAGTATGAAATAGACTCATCCATTTTCATACCAAATGAAATATGGTTTGGTTAAAAACATATAATAATATATAATATGGGGTTCATACAGTACATTATCCAATATACAAAATCGATTCATATAGAATCGTATCGAATAAATCTATTTAATTTTGAACTGATTGTATTGTATGATGTCAGTTCATATATAGACAATCATAGTACTAAATCGATTAGTGCAAGATTGTACGAGCAAATTTTGAACTGATCATATATATATATATATATTACTAAAGATATTAGCTTCATCCACTTTTAGCAAAGTCCATTCTTGATCGATGGTCACATAAAAAAAATTTGTGGAGTAGCCTAGTCATACATTTAGGGAAAAAAGTGTTAAAATAGTATATCCCATATACATGGGTAAACCTTTTAGTAACCAATCAATTTTTGTAGAAATTGCTCGAATCATGAGAATGAAACTTTATAGTGAATGTCTAATGATAGATAATCGACTTAACCTCGAGAGTGGAGACAAACAAATCCACCATATGATGCTAAGATGTCCATTCAACTTTTCATAGCATATTTTCATAAAGAATTATATTGTGTATTATAATACGGAATATAACACATGACAAAGAAGGCAAATGTAAGAAGACAAATTGATAAATGATCAAATAAAATGGAATCATGAAATTGTTTACCTACTCCATAATATATCAATCAAATTTGGGTGCATACACACAAAAAAAAAGATGAGATCTCAATTTGTTTTGAAGAGGATGACCAAGTCGACAACATTAGTAACATGAAGTAGCAATGGAGGAGTGGACAAAAGAAACATCTATGGTCAAGTATTAGACTCCAAAAACTTTGGCACCTCCACAAATCATATACTTTAAACATAGATCCTAAAAGACAACTATAGTGAGATAAGAATACTGAATAATTATCAGTATTTATAAGATACTGAATAAATAGATAATAAATTTACAAATAATTATGTGACATATAAAACATCTGGGAGAGAATTTTTGAATCCAAAGGAATAGGCAACATGAAATGTTACGATGTTGAGAATTGATCATCCTTTTTGAAATGAATAGTTAATAATAACGATGCGGCATATGCATGAATCTAATTTCATAAATTGAGATTTATTTTTAGCTTATCTTTTAAATTTTAAAAATTAAAACTTAATAATATAGCATACCATTAAAAAAATGATTTTATCATCATATCCATGCAAATACCACCCACATTCTGACATAGACAATATTCTTATATAATTTATTATTAATGGTTAAATAAATTTAAAAATTATATATTTTTCATTAATGAATGTTAATAACTTTATAATACTAAATTAAAAAAATAAAATGTGATCATTGACATTATTAATAAACTAAAGAATAACTTGTCTTATTCATGTTTGCACATATTCAGCTCTAGAGCTAGACACACAAGACCTTTCAACTCGTTAAATATAATAGAACTTGTTTATATTAGGTGATGTGGCTCGCAAAGAGCAAAATAAAACTCATTAAATTAATATTTTAAATTATAGTTTATTCCCCCAACCTAAAAAACCTGACATTTAAAAGCACGAGAACTTGATACATAATTTTTTCAATGTATTTTTTACGTATTTTTTATTTGCTGCTTATTTGACATGAGAAAATTATGTATTAAAAAATACACAGTAAAATAAGCAGTAAATACACAGCATCCGAACCTTACTCTGCGTTCGAATTGCGTACACAATAATTTCTTCATGTTCTGATGATAACGTTTTCTATAATATAGTAGTAATCTTTCATCAACTTCAAAGAAGCACAGCTATGGTCTCCTAAAATAATCAAGCCAGTTTAGAACGAAGACAGACAATTATAGTATTACGATCCCAGAGTCTCTCATCCTTAAAAAGAATTTTCAGATTGGAACGTGTAGGGAAGCAATGACAAATAAAAGCACATAAGATAAAGGGCAAGAATATGAGCATATCCTCGTCTTAATTGAATAAAAAATACTAGTAAATTACAGCTCGTCCGTGACGAATGTAAAATAAGCTAGTGGTCTTTCGTCAGAATCATCAGAATAAAAGAAAGAAAAACCATTACGCATAATAGTATCAAATAGATCTCAAGGTTTGATAAACACTCCGAGGCATCAAATTAATTTATAGTGGTCTGCTTAGTAAAAGAAGCGCAAATTGTCTGCAAACAGAAGAGAAGCATGTTCAAGGCTGGCAAATAAAAATCAAAGAAAGCCTTGGAAATCTCAACTAAAACAACAAAATACCAAGGAAGATTTTCTTAATCTTAGGCAGGGTATCTAGTTCCAAATTCACTGCAAAAGAAAGAAGTTGAAAGTTTAAGCATGTAAAATGCAAGAGTTGTTATGCAAATTACTGAAAGCGTTATTAAAATTCATGTCCACTGACCTCTGCATCATCGCCAGCATTAGCTTTGGTGCTGCCGTCTTTTGATGCTTCATCAGCTGCATTAGAAGATGATAACATTTTTAGAGGCTGCTTACCACCAAGAGAAAAATAGTTTAATATCATATATAATATACTTTATGAGTGTTTGGAATATCAGGGATTTGAGTGAAACCCAAGACGTTTAGTGTAAAACTTGAAGAATAACCACGCCATCATTGTAGATTCAGTTCTAAATTTGATTCAATTTCTTTATGTTATCTTCTGAAATTATTGGAACTTCATATATGTTTGAGAATTTCAATTCGAATCATGATTTCATCCACACTTCTTATGGTTTTCTGATCTCACCTCTTGTGATTTAAAGTTCTAATTATGAGAGAAGAATCAATATTTTCAAATGGATTTAAGTGTCCATTATATCATGTTATTATAATAACTAATTGTATGTAATAAACAGTATCCTTGCGATCTATCTATATAATATATTGCATATCTATAGAACTAAATTGCATCGGATCATCATATAACAACAACAATAACAAGCCTTTTATCCTACTAAGATTTAAAATTGCGCAATTAGGTATTGAGCCATTTTCCGTCCGTCATGCAGCGTAAGAAGCCTCAAGGGCATTTTATAACGTGAGCCTCAAAATCTAAAACTTGCATAAAGTGAAAATGAAGATTAAAAGTGATTTTATTTTGTATAATAACCAAATAATACATTAAACGATGACATATTAACTTCCTATTGAACTATTAAATAATAATTTGGCATGAATATGAAAATATATATATATAAAAGATGTAACTTAAGAAGTGATAAATTACGTGAAATATAATTAAAATCCAAAGTCCAAACATCATAATAACAAAACAACATTAAATATATTATGTAATAGGAGAAGCAGGTGATGGTTGCGGCAGCAGCCATCCGCAAGTGATTGCTGGGAACTGCAACAACGGGATAGCGGCATGGAGCAAATTGTCGAGGATGGGAGCTATGACCTGGGTGTGATGGGGCCATGTGAAGGTGGTGTTTAGATTAGGTTAAAATATTGTTATTTTTATATATTAATAGTTAAAAAAAAAAAAAAGATCATACATGAGGTGTACACCTCAAGTCTATGAGGCGAGGTGCACCTCAGCCAGATTGAGACATATGCCTCAAAGCACAAGCATGCACTTAGGCATGCCTCACATTGTGCAATTTTAAACAATGTATCTTATTACGTGGAGCATTAGATCATCATAAAATACATAAAATTGGTGTTGAATTTTTACTTTTCCCATCCATTGCATTAGTAATATAAAAGAGCCTTAAACATAGATACAACACATGTACACAATATTCATTTAATATTTTTTAGTCAATTAACTCGTTTACCCTTAAAAATAAATAAAGACCCAAAAGCCTAATTGCATGACCAACCATATCCAAGTTTAAAGAGAGAAGGCACAATGAAGATTTTGTGTGAAATACTCTTTTACATAAGTTATATCCAATTTATGTTAAGCCTATATTTTTCTTCACTATCTTTCGACTAAATATTTATTCACTTGACTTATTAGTGGTTTTTTTACTACTTGATCTTTAATAGATATTACTCCTGCTATCATTGTAACATAAAGCTCTCTCTATTCTCCCTCATAATATTACCACATTAATCTTAACATACTCAGTTCTATCATGCTCAAATTTTCTATCAATGGCTACTTTAATATCCATATGAATACATAATTCTCTAATCATACTTCCCTAAAATTTTTCATAACAGGCTCTAAAAGAACTCCACCCAGCCTTATTATATAAGATCCAAGTTTAAAATTGCGCAATAAGAGGAGCACCTCAGCGCAATTTTAACCTTTTAAGCCTCAAAGCCTACGCAATGAGAGCTGGCATTGAGGCGTATGCCTCAAATTCACTGAGGCGCGTCTCGCCTCATGTTTTAAAAGCGTCCGCTTCTTAAAAAAAAAAAAAAAAAATCGCCAGAGATTTTGAGAAGTAATAGATGTTATGCCTCAATGAGTTAACATCTTTACTCTTTTTTTCACCATAAAGTACTTATCATGCACTTTTAGTTTTGACGGAAACCCCTGGGATGATCCAAGATTAACACCGACAAACTTTATGTATCGCTAGAGATAAACATCAATCGAGGATCAATCCTATGCTAAGCTAAAAATTTGAGGAGTACATTTTGCCTAACATCACACTTTGATATTCTAATATACAACCTAATGGAAACCCTGATAAGAACATCCACGGAAGTAATCTATACATGAAGCATGATATCAACCAAGGTAGGCATAACTTTCTTATTTAATTGGCGATGTGGTAGTAATTTGGCAAACTCCTCAACCCAATATGTGCTTCCTTTGTCCAGCATATTTAAAAAGGGGAGGGGAAATCCTTTGTTGCAATAGCCAGCCTCCCCGCACCCCATTCAACCCAAAGGGCATCATTGTTGTGATGCCCAATTTTCCAACATAAGGTTGTAAACCACAACTTTTAATTGGTTACAATATTACTATCATAAATTTTATTATATATGTTTATTTTATTTAAATTACATGCATGTAGGTCCGCCACTGTACAAAATTTTTCTCATGCATGACCAATTTTATCCTTGCACAAATACTAGAGCAATGAGGCTAGGAAGCAATCCTTTGTTACAATGGTAACAAAAATGATGAAGGTATTTCACCAACACAAAAATAGAATCTTTTAAAAAAAAAATCAAAATAATAAACCTAACAAACTTTTCTACTCGTTCACATGACTTGGGCTTCTGCTAGTAGTCCACAGATCACAAGAACTTAAAAAATATATATCACAATAATAGGAAACACTTAGCAGATCTCAAACATTTCCTATCAATCTTTGAAAAACAGCGAAAATCCTCCACAAGAATCCACATGAAAACAGTAGATAATTTGTATTATTTGATGAAATGGAAACGGAAAATAGCAAGATATAGTTGATCCTCATTTCGAGAGGAGGATCAGTCTCTCCCAAATCTCTAGACGCCGCTAGAGCCCAAAAGAAAACCTAAATCTAAGAGAGCCAAAAAGAAAACCTAAATCTAAGAGATCTCAAATTTCAGCAAAACTCAAGATGCCCTAATCCTAGGAAAACGAACTATTTAATGCATACAATTCAAAAGGAAATATCTAAACAGTCCCTACATTCAATTTCCCTCCTAAACTTCCTCAAAATTCCTTCCTAAAACGGCTCCCGTGGACTTGCGGCTCACGCGGCTCGTACAGAACCTCCTCCATTTCGCGCACAATTCAGTCCCGTGTGGACCAGCTGGACCGGTCTAACAATACTCCCCTCCCAAGGATCCACCTTGTCCGCAAGGTGGAAAGATGATACCCTCCTCCATTCCTTCTTCATCACAAACGGTAAGAACTTGAAAAGTTCGGTCATTACACCTGTGCCCAGGCGTATACCTCTCATCGCATCTAAAACAAAGCTCATTCGCCCTCTTCTCATGTAATTCCTTCTTTGTGAGCTTCTTGAAGTTGTCCCCCGATCTTCCTCCTGCAGTTTTTTCCTTCGAAGTCCCCTGAAGAGTATCCGGTGTTGGTCATCCTGTATGGGCCTCCTGAGTTGTTGTCTCCTATCTCTCTCTCGAGGTGCCTCTGATCTTCTATTAATTGAGCTAGCTCCATAACCTCTCCCAAGTCACAATGCCTCATTACTCTAACCGCTTCCTGGATCGCTGGGGTCAATCCTTTCATGAAGCTCCCCTCTAGCACTGTCTCAGAAAGGCGGTCCAATCGGCTAGCAAAGTACTCGAACCTCTCCCGGTATTTTATCACTGAATCATCCTGCGTCAAGGCGAAGAACTGCTCGTAGAAGTCTCCTCCCCTGCCAGTTCGGAAACATTCTATCAAACAATCCTTAAACTCCCTCCAACTCCATATGGGTCGTCGCATGTCCCTCCATTGGTACCAAGCCAAAGTTTTCCATTCCAAACATAGGCCTGCTGCCATCAGTCTCTCCTCCTCTGTCAATCCATTGACGGCAAAATATCTTTCAACCTTATAGATCCACCCGTGCGCGCATCCTCCCCCTCAAATATTGGATCTTCAATTTCCTCACCCTCGGATTGCCTCCGTTCTCTTTGTTCCCTCCATAAATTCTCATTCCCCAAGGGGGTGGTTCCCCCCAAGTGTCACAATCATCCATTCTACGTTCATACCCAAACATTTCATCAAATTCTCACCTTCTCTCAAATTCAACACGTCTTGGATCAAAACAAACTCTTCACCTTTCAAATTCAACCCCCCTTTGATCATAATTACCCATTTTCCTTTCCAATTTCACCCCTCCTCTCCAAATCAGCACATCTTCGTTCTTTCCCTACCTCATCACGCCTCTCCTTATACCCTCTTCCCTGCTCCTCCCTAGAAATAGGCTATAGGAGAGGTATTTTCTCTTCTTCCTTTCAAGTCTCCACCTCCTGATCTCCCCTTTGTCTGATTAGCTTAGGGTTTTTCCCATCTCCGTGGATGTCGGCGCCTTCCCTCACCTTCGACGACGATATTTTGGTTTGGTACTCGAACACTTTTTTCAACATCTCCTCCAAGAAAGAAAATTTTGAATCGAACTTATCATGGATAGCTGAGACATCTTTTTTTAAATCTGAAACTTGCGTTTGAATATCTAAAATTTCATATTTCATTTGTCCAATCTCCACTTCGAGGCGTTCCTCCAACGCATCCATTTTCTTGGCCACTATTGATGCCTGGATTTTTGTAGAAATAAAAATATGGACTTCAATCGTCAAAAACAGCAATTTTCTTCTTCGAAATCCCAAGAAACAACGCATAAATTCACCAAAATAGCCCACAAAAGGTCCTGAAAACAACTATGATAGCAATTTGATAGGAAACACTTATAGATCTCAAGTATTTCCAATCAATCTTCCGAAAACAGTGAAAATCCTACAAAAGAATCCACACAAAACCACAAAAACAGTACATAATTTGTATTATTTGATGAAATAGAAATATAAAATAGCAAGATACAGTTGATCTTCAATTCGGGAGGAGAATCGATCTCTCCCAAATCTCTAGATGTTGTTGGATCCCAAAAGAAAACTTAAATCTAAGAGATCTCAAATTTCAACCTAATTTAAGATGCCCTAACCCTAGGAAAACAAACTATTTAATGCATACAATTCAAAAGGAAATCTCTAAATAGTCCCTACATTCAATTTATTTCCTAAACTTCCTCAAAATTACTTCCTAAAACGGCTCCTGTGGACTTGCGGCTCGCGTGGCTTGTACAGGGAGGCGGAAGACCTCCGCCATTTCGCGCACAGGCCAGTCCTGCGTGGACCGACTGGACCAGTCTAACACACAACAATGCAAGAAGAATCATTAGAATAAATATATATTCCTGAGATTAACAAACTTTTCAACTGATTCCACAGTTAGAAGTGTTTCTAGGGTAAAATAACTGCAAAATGGCTCATAAGAATGCTTAACAAGTATGTTCCCAACGCATGAGGTTTTGCTAATCTGGTAATGTGTTACTTCTAAAAGGGCTAATGTATACAATCTTATCTGAACCAACATTTTCAAATCGCTAATTCTAATGCAATGTTTAAGAGTTCTTTTTTTACGTCAATGCATAAAATGAAAAAGTCTGATGTGTATTTGATTTCATGAAAGAGTAAAAAGAAAACATGCATCTAAATCCTCGACTAAATTTGAATATCAAGTAATACCTTCCGCCTATTATGAGATTATCTAATTTGCTGAACTTCTATTTAAACTTATTTTTCTCAAAATAATATACTCTCCATGTAGAAAACATTAGCATCATTCAAGCGAATGTTAATCCTATATATCAAAAGAGCACAAAATATATTGAAGTAGAATATCATTCAATTCGAGAGGCTAAGATATTTACATTTTAATCCTATTAATCTTCTTAATCTTTCTACAAACCTTCAGATGTCAATATATTTACAAAGTTCAAGACATGACAACATCATCAAATCCTTATAGGCAAACTAATACTTCTTGAACAACCAATATCAATTTGTAGGGGAGTATCAATTGAACGTATAATTGCACACATCATGCCAAAATTAGCCACAATTATTTCGAGATTCCTACATTATTATGGTGTAATTATTGATGTAGAATTTACGTAATTAAGTATTGTCGGCATATGTATTTGTATTTACAAGTGCAATTGTAGGTTCCTTGTTTGACCAAATCTTACTCTTCCAATTATTTAAACTCAAACCCATATCATTCCAAGATATGGCTACCTCTAGTCATAGAGAACAGAGATTCATTGAGCAACATCTCAATGAAAATGAGAACTAGTGAAAAAAAAAAGCGAGCTTTCATGCCCTAATTAATGTGGCAGATGTTAAATCAAACCATGAAATCTGAACTAGGATTTTGTTTTGGGTCAAAGATGAGCACATATCACTATAACATAGCATGCATGCTTTGCAGCAACCTTGTGCTTTGTAGACAAGTGATGCTCTTCACAAGCAAGTGATGTGCAGGGCTAGCGCACAGCTGATAAAGCACACTTTTAATAACACTTATTCCGACATAACTGAGAGATTGTTTTCATGCTCAAAAGAATGCTAGCATATGTAAAACATGCATCCCCAGAAACTTATTGAATAAATATCTACTGAATGTTTGACTACACGAAGCAGGGAGAAAACTTATCAGGAAATAACAAATTACCATCCAATATAAAGCATGCCAAAAAGTTGTATGGTAGTAGAACAAAATACTTACAAGATAACTAAACTCAAACTCGCTTAAAACAACCGTTCAATTCAAGAAAAAACATAGCAAATAATATATATATATATATATATATATATGTTATACAAAAAATACAACTTCCAAGATGCACTAGGGCGTCATGCGTAACCTGTTATACATGTAAAACAATTATTCTACATCTTAAATTTTACATAAAGAATAAATAAAGAAAGAATGAAATTTTAAAATTCAACGACTGCCCCTATGCACTTGCATAACAAATTTGAGATAAAGTTTGTGTTAGACAGCTGAAGAAAACTCAAGCACGCAAAAATTGCATAGGATTTCATTGCTCACTAAAGGTAAATAATTAAATATAACCACGACTTCCAATTAACAAACATGTAAAATAATACTCTCATAAGATATCCACTCGATCATAAAACAAAATTTCAAATAAAAAAATGATATAAATAATTTACAACTTCAAAGATGCAGAAGTGTCAAGCAGTGCCTATAACACATGTACAACAAAGGACAACAAATATTTAGCATCTTAAATCTAATGAAACATGAAGATAAATAGAGTGAAATTTAAGAAGTCAAAGATTGTCCATATGCATTTGCAAGGAAATTTTAGATTAAGTGTCTATAAGACGGTTGAAGAAAACTCAAACGCACAATAATTGTATATGAAGGTCAAAAGAAGAGTGTGTTGTAGCCCGTGAAGAATGGAACAGGCTAATATAAGGTCACTGCTCAGAAAAAGAAAAATAAATAAATATAACCACGAGTTCCAATCTATGACACATAGATATGGACATGGCGACACGGGCACAGAACCCATCAATTACTCAAAATATAGGACATGGAAGCAGATTGGATATAGTATTATAATTTTTATATTTTAAAAATAGTGTATAGATATTGAATAAGCTAAAAATTAAAAATAATTGAAAAACCATAAGTCATTTTACAATGATTTGTGCTTAAAATAATTAATATTAAGATGTCAAGAATCAGACAATGATGTTGTATACTGGGCGGAATCGGACGTTGATGTAGAGATGACGTTGGACAAAGATGAGATATTGAGACAACTCAAGGGCTTGAATGTGGGTGTAGAAATCATTAGCATTGAGCATCAATGTTAAGACAATTTCAAACTTCAATGATGAGATTATTTTAAAACATTGATGTTATGATGGAAAACCTTCCATGAGAAATCATGGATGTTCTCACTAGACATTTGAAAGAGGATGTACCTTGGTGTATGTTTTTTGTTGATGATATTCTTCTTGTTGATAAGACTGGAGAGGGAGTTGAAGGTGAACTTGAATTATGGAGGTCAAACTCAGAGTCTAAAGGTTTTCGCTCGAGTAGATCTAAAACGGAATATATGGATTGTAATTTTAGTAGTAATAGACCTAGTGAGGGGATTGTGACTTTGGGCGATCAAGACATTAATAAGAGTACACGTTTTATATATCTTGGATCTATTGTTCAGATTGATGGTGAAATAGATAGGGATATTATCAGCAGAATTCAAGTTGAATGGTTGAAGTGGAGGAATGCTGGCTTGTTGTGTGATAGAAAAGTATCCCCTTAAACTTAAGGGAAAATTCTATAAGATGGTGGTGAGGCCTGCAATGCTTTATGGTACCGAATATTGGTCATTAAAAGAGAAGCATAATCCTAAGTTAAGTGTGGCAGAGATGAGGATGCTCAGGTGGATGAGTGGCTTTACCCTTAGAGATAGGATATGAAATGAGCATACATGTGAAAAGATTGGAGTAGCCCATGTAGAAGATAAGATTAGAGAGAGTTGCCTTAAATGGTTTGGTCAAATAAAACGGCGGCCTTTCGATGATCCGGTTAGGAGAGTAGAGGTATTAGATTTGACCTATGTTAAGAAAGGTAGAGGCAGACCCAAAAAGACTTGGTTAGAAAATATTAGGAATGAACTTTCTTTATTGGATTTAAACGAGATTTTGACTTTTGATAGAACACAATGGAGAAAAAGGATTCATGTAGCCGACCCCACGTAGTGGGATAAAGGCTTGATGTTGTTGTTGTTGTTGTTGATGATGTTATGACGTTGTCAAACATAAATATTAAGATTGCACCAATTTGTAGTGAAACCTTAGCAGCAAACCCACCAGTTAGAAATTAAAATAGGAATGTTCAGAGAATGGGGTATTGACTGCAGGGATTGATTTGGGATTGGTGCAGAAAAAATAAGAATTTTTATTTTATATTTTTATAAATTAAATTTGAAATACAAGAAATTATATTTAAAAAATAATATAATATTTAAGATACGTATGTCAAATATGAATGTCCAATTTATTTTAACATTTTTAATCAAATAGTCTTCATAGTGTCTGGGACATATCGGAGGTGTGCCGGATGCATGTTGTGTCCGATACGTGTTGGACATTACATGCCTCTTTGAAGAGAAATATTAATGAATCATAGGTTCCAATTAATTAACATGCAGAAATTTTTTTATTTCTAACAGACTAACAAAGTTAAAATCTGCGAAGAATAAGCAATTGATAGCATTGAAATATTAAAATGAACCTGTGCTAATGCAAAATCGCTAACTCTTACCTCCATCTTCTGCTATGTCCGAAGTCCACAAGGTGAGGTTATCCCTCAGAAGTTGCATAATCAAAGTGCTGTCTTTATATGACTCTTCACTCAATGTGTCAAGCTCAGAAATAGCTTCATCGAAAGCTTGTTTAGCAAGATGGCAGGCCCTGTATGCATGTCACAATTTATTCAGATTGGAACTCCTGGTTAGGATTACAGAGCCAGAAAACAGTGATACACCGACCTTTCAGGAGAATTCATTATTTCATAATAAAAGACAGAGAAGTTCAATGCCAAACCCAGTCTAATTGGGTGAGTAGGAGAAAGATCTGCCTCAGCAGCACTGGAAGCTGCCTGCAAAAAGGTGGAGATCACATTTAAGACAACAGCAGAACAAGAAGTATAGCTCATGATATTTTAGATGATTAAAAATACCTTAGGGATGCATCTAATCACAAAATTGAATAAACATTCACACTGAAAAAATAAATATTCTAATACATATAATACAAAAACACATTATGAACTCTAAATCCGTGCAATTAGTGCTGTCCATACTACCTAGTTGCTATTAAGAAAATAATTGGTATTTCATAAGATGAGAATCTCAATACTTAATTTTTATAAAGAGAAACATATCCTTTCATTATTCCAGAGTATAATTATCACGTATAATAAAAACAAAAAAAAATAATAGTTAGCTTTAACTAGATTCCTATTTTAACTGCAGGAGAACTTTCTATTTAACCTACTCTTAAATAAATTTACATTATTTAATATAAAGAAATTTCTAAATTCATATTATTATAATGGCAAATATCTTTATATTTTTATTTTTTTAATTTATTTTTTATAAAACACATAATTAAATCTTCTAGCTATATATATATATTCGCACATCCAAAGAATAAGTTGATTTTTTTAAACGTCATAACATTTACCATAATTTATTAGCTAAAAGATTTAATTATTACACATTTCTAAATTCATATCTTCTAGCTACATATTACATATTTTTTAAGTATGTAAACTCAACCAAACTTGGACAAATTCTTTTATCAACCGCAAGCAGGCAGCTTTTGGAACGATACAGAGAAGATTAGCATGGCCCCTACGCAAGGATGACACGCATAAATCGAGAAATTGTCCAAATATAATAAAATAAAAAATAAAAAAAAAACCGCAAGCAGGCAGCTTTTTTGTTGGAGCCGCCAACCATCTGCCATCTCCATCACCTTCCGTCGTTCGCCACAGCTAACACCCACCACCATCAAACATCACCCGCCGCCCACATCCACCAGCCACAAATAAGTTGTGACATGAACATAACTGATCAATATTGGCAAGCCATTTGTAGCTAAATATCCCATTGAAATGAGAAACATCAATTTTAATGATTCTTAAATCACTTATTCTACTTTCTTTCATTGATCGTGATGAGCTCTACATTCCTTCTACCACTCATAAGAATCCAAGAATAATTTGTTACACAAAAATACTGTGAGTTCTTGATATGTTCTTTAAGCAATTCAAGTCATGAATTTGGATGACCAGTATATGAGGATGGTTGGATTTGTGTCTGAAGTTATTAGATTTGAATAAATGATGGCAGAGATTCATTTGTAGGGATCCACAATGCCGAGCCTATGATGATTGATGGCGTGGATATGATTTTGAGCTTCAAAAAAAAAAACAAGGGACATCTTAGAAAACTCAATTGATATGGAATTGATGTCGACATTGCTCAGAAGTATCAACTTATGTTTCTTTAAATGGTGATAGAAATTGGTGGCAAGCTATGTTGGCTATGGCGAAACCGAGTGGTAACAGAGATGGGCAATTTGCTTAACGGGACTGAACATGATGCAGATGATTGAACCAATCTCAAACTGACGTTCACACAACAATTTAGAGGTGCATTGTTGCATATCGCTCGAAGTTGGACCAACAAAACATAGTGGGGCTTGGGTTGGCAAATGGGTCATAGTGATGATTGGATTTTAGATGAGATTGGAAATGATGGATTGGTTTAAGGAGGTGAGGCCCGGTTAGCATTCTTGATCCCAAAATAGGGATTGGCAAAGATGAGTGCAAGAAGATGGTGTAACCAAAACGTCAATATAAGATTCTCGATCCCAAAAAAGAAAAGAAAAGTGAACTAGATAGGAAGGAGAGAAGGAAAATTCATTATTCATGTCACGTCTTCTCCCCAAAATAGGGCTTCTACAGAATACAATGTCTTAAGCTAATTATTATTCCTAATTAATCATTTATTAATTACTAACCTAATTACAATTAGATTCACATCACATGCAAATGTTTTTTTTCTCTCCTAAAGTGACCATGGGAGAAAAAAAAAGGGTACCCAAAAACATAAATCCTAAATATGGAATTTTCTCCAATGAAAAATATCATAAAGACGGTAGTGAATGTCCCTTTGAGACCTAACAACATTCAAGTAGATAATGGTTGATAAGAACCAACCTGAGTTGTTCTCTAAGTCTCTAAAAACCTTGCTTATCTTTGCAAGAATTCTTGGAACTGTGAATGAAATTCACCAACCTCAAAGCAATTATTTTCTAATTACAACAAAAAATTCCTCTTGTTTGCCAAAAGCCATGTATTGGTTTGTGGCCTAACAACGAATAAACATAGAAACCTTAACATAATCTGGTTATTGTGGTTCTCTTGGTTGTGTAGCCTCAAAAAAATCAATATGATGCCTAAGATTTGTCACTTCACGACTCACTTAACCTTGTCTTGCAACAAAATCAATAGGATAGGAAAGCTAAACAAGAAATTATAATGCTGTCCAAATGACACCTAAATACAAATTTCTCCATAAAGTGATTATGGATGCAACTTACATTCTAATAGAAGCAACGCAGATCTTATGCTAAACATAGTATTGTTTGCAACAATATCTAATGTAGAATGAAAAATAATAATACAAACTATGTAGCATGCAAAACAATAGCATAAATAATTAAAGAGTAAGATGATATTTTTAGTGTTTTCTTGGTAATGCATGCAAACCTGAAAATAATAAAAGAAGCAATCACATGAAACAATTCTAACAAACTTTAAATGCAAATGAAACGCAACAAAAATTCAAAGATTAAGGATTTATTTGCCGTGTCTATAGCTTTCGTAAATGTAGTTGCAGAGTTTTGGGGAAATAAGTCTTGTAAACTATTATGGATATTATAAATATTTTTCTTAGCAAAAATAACAACAATATCAAGCTTTTATCCCACTACGTTTGGTCGGCTACATGAATCCTTATCCTCAATTGTCTAGTTAAGAGTCAAATTCTCATTTAAATTTAATAAAAAATGGTGATTTCAAATATTTTCTAGCTAAGTATTTTTAGGTCTATCTATACCTTTCAAAAAATATCTGAAAACTGATTTCTTACATCTACCAAATTCTAACAGATCTAGTTGTAATAAACTTCCTATTATATAAACTTCTGAAAAACCACAAGAAAATAGCATTCACTGAAGTAATAGCAACAGTCTGAAAAGTAAATTGAAAAAAAAAAAAATAAAAGTTGCCCCAAACTGACCCTAAAATTGTAACGAAAACACAACCTTAGAAGGGCAAAAATATCAAATATGATTGCTCCTTGCTCATTGATAAAGAGACTAGATTGTTATGACGTGCAAAGGATTATTAATAAAAAATAGGCTTTTAAAGGTAACAAAAATTGAATACTACTAGGGTTTGCAATGAATATATAAAAACTATAAATCATACTGATAATGTTTTCAGTAAAACAAAAACTACAACTTCTAAAGATTTATATATTAGGCATTGTACAAAGAAAAAAAAAGAGACATAAAATAACTAAAGCAGGGCGTAAAAGTATAGTCAAATCGCCAGGACGTCTACTGGAAGCGACGTGCTGTATAGCCTGAATACAGTGACAACTGTGTAAGGGTCGCTGCACTGGCGCCCGGCTACGGTGTTAAATAGGCAAGGGTTCCCATATCAAGGACGGATGTGGGCAAAAAAGCTAGTCCATGAAACTACAATTATGATAGGAACTTGAAATATAGGCTCTCTTAAAGGAAAATTAATGGAATTAATAGATATTATGATTCATAGGAAGATAAATATTATGTGCATTCAAGAAACTAAATGGGTTGGAGAGAAGGCTAAGGAGATTGATAGTTTATTATATATGATGCACCGACACTTCTCAAAGAGGCATGCAGTGTCCGACACCGTGTCCGACACGACACTCGTCCGACACTCCTCCGACACATGTCAGACACGCCAAAAACGTGTCCGATTAAAAAATATTAAATGTAAATTGGACACGCTTGTCCGACACGCGTATCTTAAATATTTTATGAATTTTTTTTAAATATAATTTCTTGTATTTTGCGGGATTTAAACTAAATTTCTTATTTCCTAGCCACAACACTAAATCAACGTCTGTACTTAATACCCAATCATCGAATATTCTCATTTTAATTTCTTTTTGGCAATGAAGGTATTTTCATCTTCTCTCTCGGTGACTGATAAATGGCATCAACGCCTAAAATATTAATTGTTGTTTTTTGAAACTTACAAAAAAAGGCTAATGTACATGCTCGGTACCGCTAGGTATCGCTAGGTACCAACATTTTAAAAGGCGAAATCGGGACTCGAGGCGTTTTTTTCTAAGCGAGGCGAGGCGTAAGCCTTGAGGCGGATCGAGGCGTAAGCCTCAAAAAGATTACAATAAATTAATTTAAAATTATAAATAATGACAAAAAATAACATAATATTATGTCAACTTTGAATTTGAAGATTTGTTTTAAGATAATATTACTGTAATACAAGATTTAAAATAAACTCACTTAAAAATAAAACATCCCCTTAGGATCAAAACCCAAAACAGGCTCATCATCACTTTGATTGTCTTCAGAAGAATCTTCATAATTAATGTCAAAGTCATCCTCCAACTCTTCTTCATCTATAATATTTTTTCCTTTATCTCCTATATCAGTTAATATTTCATTAGCTCTAAAATGAAACAATAGTAACATACAAAATAATTCATTATATTTAAAAATACCTTTAAATTTTTTATTGTCTTCAGAATAACTCTAAATTTAACATTCCCTTCTTCAAATGAAAATCCTCAAGTTGATCATTCACTTTGAGATAGTCTTCTTCAGAAATGGATTATTGACCAAGAAATTAATAATACTTCTATGTCGAATATTGACCAACCATCTGACATTATTGTCACTCCTGTCTCAATCCATATTTCTTTGTGTGACCTCCTTTGTGGTGGCAAACTTCTTTAAATAATTTGTACATTCCTTCTTCACCTCATCTAAAACTTTTGCACATGGTCCCACATTGACATGAGTGCAGGCTAGATGATCCTTCAATCTTTTGACGCCACCAGTTATGCGTTTCTCACTGAAATTACATTTCATGTAAACATATCCCTTCTTTGCACCTTCGCCTGACACTTCAACTTGAGTTCCATATTTCCATGCAGGATCTTTCCTTCTTGTGCCACTAGTCATGCTAACAATAGGATATATTTTAACAATTATTTGTACTACCAAATACCAATAATAAAACAACATGAATACAAAAATATACCAGTCTGCCGGGTAGGTACATGCTCGGTACCGCTAGGTACATGCTCGATACCGCTTGATCTCTTTCCATACAAATAACTTACGAACTTTAAAAACAAGCGGAACTTCAAAATTACTCTTACCCTGGCAGGTCGAACCCCGCCAGAGGGCAGAGCCCCCTTGGACCCCCGACAGACCGGTATATTGTTGTATTCATGTTGTCTTATTATTGAGATATTTTGATTTCACTTCATATCAATTATAATTTCTATGTTGAAAGATAGTAGTTCAAATAGAGAATATCCATTATGATTTAGGAGGAATATATATCTTCATCTTCTATCAAGGAAAACCTCACTTTATATGACATGTGATAATAAGATGTGGGATGTTGTTAGAGATTGGTTCGAGTGACTTGTTGATATGGGATTATTGGAGGTTGCAAATCTTTCTCTAGATGAACCAGAGTTGGATGCAATGATATTCAATGATGATGATATTGAAGGCCAAAGATCTACCTCTGAATTTAATTTTATTATTCCCTCTATTGAGTAGTTGGACCTTCATGT